AACATCCTTTTTTACCACATTACTGACTCTATTTTTATATGTCCTCCAGTTCAGGGCTTTGTCACGGGTTGCAAAACCACACTTGGACATCGGCCAGGCAAGGAGATTGAAAAAGGAAAAGAAATGTCAGTGGCAAACATACTTCATCTTCTTTTGCTTGCCTAAGTGTCTAAATGAGGTGTCAGTCATAGATTCATTAAACATTGGCCACTTATGAGGTTATTTAGTATCTTTAAACCATAGCAGCAGCATGCCACCTATAAAACATCACCATGATGCCATACAAATAAGTAATGTCTTACATAGCTGAAGTAACTCAGACTGACACTGCCAAACCAATCTGGTTTTCCCATTAATTTTTCACGTATTTCAGCACATGAAGCTTACAGAAATAACTCTCTAGAAATGTTTAAATTGGAAAGTCACAGTCTGAAAAGGTATGTGTATGGATATGTGCCTGTAGTTAATGAGACCACTCTGTCTCCATCAATTTAATAAACTGTTTCTCTTAAAACTCCTTCAAAAAAACTGGAAGAAAAAAATATCTCAGGGTTTAATTTATAAGAAGACACAGTGTTTCTGAATATTGTGGTCTTCCTGGAGTACTGCACATACAGAGCACAAACCTAGTGAGCACTTCAAAAACAAAGCAACTGCACTACGCTCTGTTTCCAGTTGCATGCACACTGCAATGGTGTTTTAAATACTAACCAACAGTCCATGCAAAGTTGTCCTTATAAGCTACATGTCTTGCTTCTTTCCATCCTGCAACAAGTTGATAACCTGCTTTCTGGGACTCCCAAACAAGGCATCTTGAGCCACCACAGTGATTCTCGTAAAGTCCCTACAGAAGGCTAATGGCTATGGTCACTGGAGCTGGCTGGAGCCTGCCATTCATATCAGCATGAGCTGACCCTCAAAATTGCACCCTCCATCCCTGTCCCAGCCTACAAGGCCAACAGGATGATTTGTGCGAGCAGAATGTGTGTCAACCTGTCTCCACTTAACCCAGACTGCAAAACCGTCACTCCCATCCTTCCTCAAGCCTTTTCCTGGACCGCTGTACCAGAATGATCTAGCACCAGCTCAGAGCCTGGTGTCTCCTCAATGCTATTATTGTTATTTTCTTGGATGATGGCACTGCTTTCAGGTCCCAGCAGAGACCTGGGCCCATTGTACGAGGCACTGTGCTAACGTACAGTGAGCACCAGTTCCTGCTGGAGTGGTTTTCCCTCTCAGCAGAGGCGATGAACAGCAGGGCTTTGTTGTTCTGGCTCTGAAGAACTGAGGGAAAGTGAAGCAAAGGGCTGTATCTATGAAGGCTTTTGAGGATCTAGCTCCTTAATGTATTTAAACAGGAACCATAAAAGTACTTTTGTAAAGATACACGATTTGCCCAAGCACACAGGGAGCCAGGGAACAGGATCTAAGAGCCAGTCTATTGGCTTAGCCCTAGGGCTAATCTTCTTGTAAACATCCGTTAAAACAAAGGATCCCAAATGCATTACAAACCGCAAGTCAAGTTCACTGGCTATGAGTGTTGTTCTTCCCCTTTCAGTGCCACCAGACAAGCAGCAGAGTTAATAAGGCTTGGTTTCCTATAGATTAGTATCTAGAAATTCCTTTACAGCCGTGTAACAACCACTACTCCCCATCCGTGATGCCTTCAGCTCTCTCTCCTCCATGGATGCTTGTTCCCAACCAGCACATCTGTTCCAAATCCCATCCCTTAATGCTGCTGTTGTGGTTGGGCCACGCTGCAGATGCATTGGCTGCACAGGGGCTTGGCAGGGGCAACGTGCTGGGACTCTCCCCTGTCCCCCTATTTTCTTTCATTTTTTTTATTTCAGGAATCACAATATTTCTAGGATATTTACTCTTCTGCCTGCCTTGTTTGACATTTCCCACAGTGGCTGACAGACAAACAGCATGGTTGCACATGCCTTGTTCCCTTAGGAAACCAGGCTGGGAAGAGAAACATCTTGGGTGCGCTGGGCAAGATCTGTAGTTTCCAAGCATTCACTTCACTAAAAACCGGCACGCACTGGAGCTGCTGGTCATGCATTAGCTTACAATGGCTTCTTTTATCTTGCAATGAAAGCTGTGTGTCCCAGCCATGGCAGCGTTTGATTACGGTGGCTACAGCATTAGCTAATTGCAAAGCAAAGCAAGCCTATTAAGTGCCACAGTTTTGGGTATGTCTTTTGATCCTGTTTTCTTGTTTCTTTATGTGTACATAAAGAGAGACTGATTATATGTATAAACACACATTATATATGCACTCTATTTTATGCACTACAGACTGCATCGCAGGAATATGTATATGCAATTATAAACATGTATAGTCATAGACATGTTCATATATGATTTTTTATCTAATATTATATATGTATATCTGTTTTTATATATAGTATTATATACAATATTGTATAAATACATGCACATAATATTTTCTGCATGTGCATATACACATGTATACATATGTATAGATATATACATAGAATCATAGAACCACGGAATGGTTTGGGTAGGAAGGGACCTTAAAGACCATCCAGTTTCAACCCCCTGCCGTGGGCAGGGACACTTCTCACCAGACCGGGCTACCCAAAGCACCGTCCAACCTGGCCTTGAACACTGCCAGGGAGGGGTCATCCACACCTTCTCTGGGCAACCTGTGCCAGTGTCTCACCACCCTCACAGTAACGAATTTCTTCCTAATATCTAGTATAAATAATAATAATGTTAGTCTCTTCCAGTTTAAAACTGTAACTTCTCATCCTATCACACAGATAGGGATGTGTGTGTAAGATGGGTCTGAAATAGATCACATGATTCCAAGTCATACTTAAGGATTCTTATCGAGAAAGAGATCCTAGGATGTCTTCCCTACCAAATGCCTCAATATAAACCGTTTTCCCTTTTGGAAAACCATTGTAAACTTCTTGGCTAAGGCCTCTTTTTCATATGTCCCCATGGTCTTTTTTTACCAACTGATGGATTTTAAAATTTAACACTCTCAGTCTTGCAAGTGCTGAGCTCCCATTTGTATTGAGGTGAATAGGTCAGATGTGACCTCTCCTGTCACACCATCCAGGCCAAAAGCAGTCATGAGGCTGAATCTTGCAAAGTGCTGGTGTCCTCAGGTTTTCTGTCACCAGAGGTACAAACAGGAAAGGCGCTTTGCACCTGCACTGGAGCATGCAGGCAGGGATCACCCTTATTTTCTGCCACTGGAGATGTCAAGGAAGCTTCAAAAAGAAGTAGTACAAGTTTTGGATTAAGGAATAACCTAGCTCTATGAAAAATTTACAGGCCAAATCTTTGTATACAAATGAAGATCCTACTGAAGTTAACAGCTTTGGAAGATATACAGCATTTCTCCTAGTTGTTTTTTTTTTACATAGGGACTGCATTATTTTCAGCCTGCTCACAGGAAAATATGATTTATCATAGCCAGAAGTATTTATGTCTCCTCAGAATCAATCTAGCTTCCTCTGGGTTATCAAGATGAAGACAGCCAAATTGCCAATTGAAAGCAAAATAAGTGACTTATTTAAAGCAGTTGTATTATCCAGAGTTCAGCCCTGTACTGGTCCAGTCTCCAGATCATGTATCACCCAGCAGTTCTGCTGTGCTACCAGGGATTTTGGAAGCAGATACTACAGTTCCCCATGTAGAAACACGTTTCTTGTCTCTCAAGTGAAACAGCAAATGTGCCATGGTGCATGAGTGCTGTACTAACGATGTATTGGAGAAAAAAACTGGTGCCATCATCTTTCAGTGAGGATAAATGTATTGCCTGAAAAGGTAATGATAGGTTTTTATCTTCTCTTAACTGACATTTGCATGTGAAACCACTTCTGCAGAAAATGTTTCATCGATGTTTACTCTAAGCAGCAGCCCAGTTGGCACCAGAAGCTATGCCAAGGGTTGTCCTCTCCTTTTGTATCCACTCATCCCCAGAGCTGATGGAAAGCCTAACACCTGTTTTCTCATTTAGTGCATTTCTCCTTTCCTCTACCCCAGACATGTAAAACAGAAGTATGTGTCACTGGCAAAGTGGGAGTGGGAAGCAGGACCTGCGTGGTGGTAACACCACGGGGAGGAGGAGGTGGTGGTGGTCACTAGGCACAGACCACACCATCCCTATGTGAATAAATGGGCACACAATGCATTGTCCTTCTTCTCTCATCTGATTCTCTACATTTCATTCTTTGAGACTGCAGAGCTAGCCTAGGAGCAATACATAATCCATGGACAAGAGGATCTATCCTGGAAATATGAGCTCTGGAGTGGCCACTTTGTATTCAGAGCATTCAGGCTGTATAAGGTCAGAGCAGGTAGAGAAACTGTGAAAATGTCCCTGGTGCAAAATACTCAAAGAGATTGAGGTGAGTCCAAGGAGAGAAGGACATGGAGGTTCTTTGAGCCAGCCTAGTGCAGTGAAAGGTGGACTCATCAAATGGAGATTTCAAGAGAAACCTTCTTCTACCTGGGCTTCTCCCATCAACTTCACTATGGGGTAGGACCTGACTGAAAATTACAGAGGGGGAGTTCTAGGTCTGATCTCAGTGTGACAGAGATCAGAGTCTAGTCCCGAGGGTCAGCACCATCAGAGACTAAAGTCTAATGCTGAAAATAAAACATACATGCCAACGCTCATTTTCCAGCTTAGACCATATTATTCAAGAAATGACAGTAACTGTCTCTGAAGTTCATGTCTAAGCTACTGACAGCAATACTTTTGCTGTCATACTAGTTTATCATTCTTTCCTTTGGGCAATTAAACTGATGGCCTAATAACTGGCAGTGCCAACAGGACTGTCATTTAAGTCCTGCAATCTGTGCATAGAGGAATTTCTGGCTGCTGTTAATGGATGTTCAACTATTAGAGTTGAAAACCCTGCTTGTTCAAGGCTTCTCCAAAGCCAGTGTGGCAAAACAAGGAGATGTAACATTCTAACTCAGGAAAAAACAAATTGTACATTGGCAGTGGATGAAAGATTCTCCTTTTATTTTAAAACCTCTGTAAAATCAGAGCAATGGGTCAATTCCAGCATTCAGCCAATTTAATTAGCGATCTCAGAGTAATCATGGTAATGAGCCAAGTCGGCAAAGATGTCATTGGGGTTCTTGCAGTTCAGGTTGCAAAAACAAGCATTGATCCACATGATTTTCCAGGAAAACTCAGTTCCATCTGGGCACTCAAACCTGACTTCAATAGTCTTGGACTTGTAGGGTGTGCAACACCTGTTGTCTGTGCAGACGCCACAATATTTGGGTCTATATGGACTTTTGCTCACACATCCTGAGATGGTGTAGTTCATGGCTTCATTGGCTCTGTAGACAGCCAAGCACTTCTTTCCAGGCTAAATCAGAAACGAACAGAAAAAGAGACAGGTAAATATTCACTGCTGACACAGATAGGACATGCAAACAATCTTCCCAGTATTTCAAAGATTTTGAAGCTGCTAGGAAGCATTTTACAGCCTTGGTCTAGAGGTGTGACAGATTTTTGTGTTTAGACATATGAAGCCAGAAGCTGCAAGTAGGATATTTGCAGCATAGAGCTCATAGCCATGACAGTGGTGCACCATCACTTTTCCACTGAGTCACAGGTCAGCCTGAACCAGCAATGAGCACAAACTTGGCTTGTCTTTCCTGGCAAGGACATTTTGGCTGGAATTAAAACTCTCAGGGGCAGGTTTTCATACCAGCATGTGCAAGCACACATTTTTGACCCCTCTGCAGCACAGTGAGTCCACATGTACTCTCTAACAGCCTCCAAGACCAGAAATGCAGCCCTCAGAGGCGGGAATGCTGCCAAACAAAGGCTGACCCCACGTCTGGTCAAACCTCAAGAGGCACATGGAGAAACAGTCCCCACCTTAATGTGTTTGGTTATATCCACCTCGCAGGGCCGCATGTTGCATAGGCGGCTTTCCTTCTGGAGCCGACACTGGTCGTTGTCATTGGAAATCCTGGTGGAGATGCCCAGCCCGCAAGTCTTTGAGCAGGGACTCCAGGATGAGGTGTGGACGATGCAGTTCTGCCAGGCTTCATCCTCTCCCTCGTACGCTGCAGAGAACAGATTAATCCCACATTATTCAGCTGGGGCAGTTTTCCATATTAAACACCCTCTGCCCAGCTCGTTACACATTCAGGCCACTAACTCAAATAATTAAAGCACAGTGAAGTGGCTCAGCATTCCTGTAAACCTCCTTATCCCACCCCCTTTGCTGCTGACCTACTTGTGTCAGACCCTCCAGTGCTGCGAGCGCTTGGGGCCAGGCCTCGTTTCTTTATTTCCCTTCACAGCCTCGCACAAGGGGGTCCTTGTCTGGGACCCCCAGCAAAAATAAAAACATTTAATAACAGAAGCCTGCACCAGCCGGTGTAAAAACAAGGATGAGATCTGATCTCACTGTGAAGGTTTATTTCTGAGTCCATTCAATTGATTCTCTGTAGCAGAAAGTGGTTGAGTCTTTGCTGGATGGCCGAGGGGGTTGGGAAGCAGCCACTTTTTTCGGCTTGAATAGCTCTCAGGGAGCTCGGCAACCACTTGAAGAAAGCCCACTCTCTGTTTTGAAAGCAGCTGACAACCCCAGTTCAGATTCCTTCACAGCCTTGGCCAAAGTCCCCACTGGTCTGCAACTCACAGAACAGCGACAGGCAAAACTCTGACAGAAACTCTGCTGCACTGAGCTCGCTCACTATTATATTTTTTATTATATTAATTATTATATTAAACACAGCAAATGCTAGTCTCAAGTCTGTCAGACTTCTACTTACAAGAGAAAAATTTAGGCAAGAAAAGCTGTGTTGTGCCCTTTTTGAGACACAGGTCATGAAGACATAAGGCCAATTTCAGTAGTAGATGTTTTGAATTTAGACCTACCTCACAGTTCAAAGCTACCAGGGACAGAAGTGGGGGCTAAATTCTGATGTTTTTAACCCACAAAAGGAAGATGAAGGCTTTTTTTTTTTTACTTGGGAATAAACCCTTACCATAAAGTAACCAAAATCCTGGTTTACAAGAAGCATCCTATACATCCTTGAGCTCTGCTTTTGTGAGACACATTGGAAAATTGGGCTAATGTGACTAATGTCACTGCATTCATCAGAGGGTGTTATAAGGATAAATGTAAGACATACAGCATGGTGAGTCCCATTTTGGGATAATGTTTGAGGTAAATGGTACCACCTCTGTGCAGTGGGATATATGATTGCCACTATGAGTGTGAGTGTGAGGAAAGAAGATATCTTATGTGGTACATAAAATTGGTAGTTCAATAATCACAGAATCAGAGAATGGTAGGGGTTGGAAGGGACCTTAAAGCTCATCCAGTCCAACCCCCTGCCATGGACAGGGTTACTTCCCACCAGATCAAGCTGCCCAAAGCCCCGTCCAACCTGGCCTTGAACACTTCCAGGGATGGGTCATCCACAACTTCCCTGGGCAACCTGTGCCAGTGTCTCACAACCCTCACAGTGGAGAATTTCTTCCTAATGTCTAATATAAATCTACCTCATTCCAGTTTAAAGCCATTCCCTCTTGTCCTATCGCCACCTGCCCTTGTAAAAAGTCCCTCCCCAGCTTTCCTGTAGGACCCCTTCAAGAACTAGAAGGCTGCAATAAGATGTCCCTGGAGCCTTATCTTCTCCAGACCGAACAGCCCCAACTCTTTCAGCCTGTATTCATAGGGGAGGTGCTCCAGCCCTCTGATCATCTTTGTGGCCCTCCTCTGGACCCACTCCAACAGCTTCATGTCCTTCTTATACTGGGGACCCCAGAACTGGATGCAGTACTCCAGGTGGGGTCTCACAAGAACAGAGTAGAGGGACAGAATCACCTCCCTTGACCTGTTGGCCACACTTCTTTTGATGCAGCCCAGGATAGGGTTGGCAGAACTTGCACCAAATTAAATGTTTTCAAGGTGTTATGAATGTCTGGGACTACTAAGGTACAGAGGCTTTAAAATCATACAACTAAAGCAATATGATCCGGACAAAAAGCCTCAGTACCGAATTAAACTGAGTCCATTCTGCTTCCCAGAGGGCTCAGAGAGGGAACAAACGTTATTAAGTAAAAAGGACTGATGACATCTTCAAAGTGCCAGCAGATGTGTACTTCAAAGAGGGCTTTGTCACACATGTTTGGTGGATCATATTGCTGCTAAGGAGTTCAAGCACACCTCTGGTGTTTGCATGTCCTATCCTTTACTACATGCTATATTGGAGTCTCTGTGCCTTGTTCACACAAAGAGTAGATGTTTGCCAGGTCTGGCAGTACAAGCTGATGCTTTGGTTAAAGTCACTGTGACTTCAGTTCCCTGATGATGAAGCAGAGGTCCACCTCATTCCCACCATACCTGCAGAGGAGATATGGCGTGGAGATGTCTTCCTGATTTTCCTGGAGTCATCACAAATCCACTGCTCGCAGCACTTCCCTGCCATCTTAATCAGCTTTGGGTTTGGGCACCACACAAGAGGAGGGCGTGAGTTGGTGCACATGGGAATACAGCCCACAGCCCCATTAATGCAGGTGCAGTTGTATTTGCAGTTGGGCTGAAATGTCTCTCCATTGTTATATCTGACTCCATTGAGGACACATCCTACACCAACAATCTCTGAGAGGAAAGAAAAAAGAGAGAAAGACACACAAAGCACTGTTAAAATAATCCTGGCAACAAACAGCACTGATGTGTTTCTTTACCAAGCTGCTGCTTGTGCTAACTTAGCTAATGTGGAGACACGAGTGTGCTGTGGGGTGATGTATGCAAGGTGATGCTGAGCCAAATGTGGTCATGCCATCTAGGAAACTGTTTTCATTCTGAATCACAACAACAACAAAATGAATCTTTTAGTGCTTCATGGAAAATAGAAGTTAGAAAATAAAACAAGTTTTATCCACAAATGCTTACTCAGAAAATCATTTAATGGTATGCTGGTCAAAGTTAGCTGCAGTAGGAGCAATCAAGGTAATTAAAGCAGATACTGAGTGAAATTAGAGGTTTTCAGGGACATATGAGAGAACTACATGGAGTTGCAAATATGACACGACTCTTCACAACATCTGTACCCCACTGAAGCAGGAGGATGAGGACAGCCAAGATAGCAAAGGAGCACCTAAAATGGCACTGGATTCCTATATTTAGGAAACTAGATCCCACTCAGTTTATCACAGCACAGTTTTCTTAGAAAATTATGAAGCCATGAAAATAAGTATTTGATGTATATTTTTAAATAAACTAACAAAAAAATCAAGCCTTTTCATTGCCCATTAACAGGAACCACATTGATTCAGGAAATAAGACACAAGTTGTGTAAAGTAGCAAATTTTTTGTTTCAATGTTTTGGACAGTTATTTGGAACTAGTGGCAGAAATCTTCTAATGGGAAATTCAAACTTAAATTTCTTGTTTGGTCACACGGAGGCAGTGTGCACACATCAACCAGGTTGCTCAAGTTTTACATCTGGTTGGAAATTGAGCTGCAATGTGGCTGCTTCAGGGCCAACACAAATCAAAATGCCGAATTGAAATTCTGCAGAGGCTTCCTATTTTTAGCAGGGGTTGAATGAAAACATGAAAAGCAAATCCCTTCTGCTGCACAAAAGTTAGACTTGTTGAAATTTGAAGGACAGACATCTTCAGTTAGTGCTCAGATCCAATTTTAATAATGCTTCAGCTTTTGTATTCAATAGACATCACTTAATGTTGAAGTCGGAGCTGAGCCTTCAACTGAGCTTCCAGGTGAGCACACAGATTATGACAATTTAAGAATATGCTGTATTTCCTTGTTTTTTTGCTACCAGCATGTCTCTCCTGGACTGTGTTAACTCAGCCTCCTGCAGGTCTCATACATCAAGAGGTTCATCATGAGAACATCCCCAAATGCAGACAAAGGGGGTTGTTGAATGCCTTCATACAGAACCAAGCTGAATCTGCACCTAAGTCAGGTGATTTTGGGAGCACTGGCTCCATGTGCACAATGGCTGCCTCCCCACCTGGGCATGTGCTCAGCACCCTGCTGTCCTTGCTTCACTGCAGAGAAAAGTCAACAAAAACAGGCCTGTAGTGATTCCCAGCAAGCTCCTAGCTGATGCCCAGGTGACCAGATCCTGGCACACACCTCAGCATGTCAGTCCAGATGCAGCCTGAATTTCCACAATTTCACCCCATTCCCTTTCCCAACACCAGTTCCTAGCCCTTTCAGGATCTTTATTTTCCATAAATTATGTTGTTTCTTTAGTCCTGCATGCACTGGAGTCTTTTGACCTAGTTTTGGCATCCAGCTGCAAAGGAAATTCCTCACAGCAGTTAGGTCCCAACACCCAGCACAGGAAGGCCCCAACACCCAGTGCAGGAGTCCCAGTCTTGCCTTCAGTCACCCTGCAGTCAGGGCCACTGCTGGTGTACTCAGAGTGAAGTGATGGAGCCTATGTCTGACCCAGTGCACACGAACGAACGCATCAGCAGATCCTGTTATGTGCCTCTACCTGGACACTGAAAGCAAGGGGAAGACCAGAACTTTCGATGGCAGCCAGAAACAAACTGCTTCACCTCCTAACCATGGAAGGACCTCTTTCTCATGTCCCTCAGCTATGCACGCCACAATGCCCCTCACCATATAGTCAGAAATGTCACATAATAGGGGATATATTGCCATGGCAATAGACATGTGAAAGTGCATCGGATTGGGAAGCCTTCCAGACCTCACTGGGGATCAATCTTCCCACATCACAGTGCTGTTGCCACAGGCAGACTGAATGCCTGTGATGTACAGCAGGGCTACAAAAAAACCCCAAAACAAACAAACAAAAAATAATCTAAGACAGCAATTATTTATATAAATAAGTGCGAAGCAACACGAATATCTTTTAAAGAGTTCTAGGAAGGACTGAGGTAGCTTTGAGACAACATCCATACTGTTTTCCTCTCCCAGTGCAGGCCCAGATGTCACGATGTTATTCTCAACAGAAGTTTGTCTAACTTGTTCTTACAGACCTTGTATGAATGCTCCACACACACACTAGAAAATACATTTGAATGATTTCATATCCACTTTTCTTGAATCTTTTTTATCTTGAAAATCACTGTTAAAGCTTACTGCTCCTCATATATACATTCTCTTGTTGTAATTTTTCTCAAATTCTACAAAACCCTGGTTAGACTGCACTTTCTGCATGTTTGTTTTTCATGTCTGAGCTAAAGCAAAACCAAGCACATTTCTTACTACTCTTATCATCCTTCTTCTGCTGAGAAACAGCAACCCTTAGTATATTTTCTATGAGAAACTGCCAGCTACCTCGAAGCTTTTTGCTCCTTAGACTTGTCCCCTATGTATGAAACTTCTGCTGATTTTCTAAATTTATTGAAGCCCACTATTTGCAATCCTTTTTCTTCCCTGTGGATCAGTTATTCTATTCATTCATCTTGCAGTCAGCTCTCCTCCAGGTATCCTTTCACCTTTATATTTTCTATTAGTGCCTCATTCATGGTTATATTCCAGCCTTGAAGACTCTTTCTCTCTAAATGGCTTTTTCCTGTTTATGACTCTAAAGCCATAACCAATATGTTCTAATAACTCTCTAAACAGTCAGCAACTTTTCTGATCAGCTATCTGTGTGGTTGCACTCATTCTCCTTTCCCTTTTAATCATTCCCAGAGTAATGATTTTCAATCATTTATGACATTTATGAGCAGATGAGATTCCCCCTGTGTTCTGGATCTCAGAACAAGTGAATATATCCTTGACACACAGAACACCACCTGATTGCTTTTTCCTCTTCCTCTTGAAAAAAACCATTCCAGTCAGACAAATTATCCCACGAGAAGTTTGTTATGACAGGCAGGAAGTAATCCTTCTGCTCCATGGCAGTTAACGTAACTGAAACCATTGTAAGATTAGACCTCAGTTTGTCACTGAGAAACTTTGCTAGGAGAGGATTCATCCCTGACCCTCTGACAAGATACCACATGCTATCCTTCTAGGGATCCACTATTGGGAATAAGCCAGAAGCGTCTGGGGTTTTACATAGATGTTACATAGATGCCCAAATTGATTGTCTTTTAAGCCAGTGGCCTACCTCTCCTTCCATCATCCCCAACCCACTACAGCACCTCCTCCTGTTGCAAGGAATACTGAATCATTTACTTGCAGATCTGAAGACCTTCAAATGTTGAATGCTGGTTACTCCTTGCTTTGGGCTGCAACTCAAAGAGCAAGAACTCAGATGTCATTTCACATCCAGCCAACTGCCCTGAGAATGAAGACAGCTACAGAGCAATGGAAGATAGTGAATGGAGGAGTTTATGAGCATAAAGTCAGGTATCTAATGAGATAAATCTCTGCCATTGCTTAGACCGCGGGGAGCTGCCAATGTTTATCTGAGTCAAAAATATATGTACATCACTTACGTGCACATACTCCTATTTCGTACCTAGGTCTGTCTCCACTGTAGTCACAGTATAAGCCCCTGTGGAAATCACAGATGTCAGCCTCAGTGCAACTCTCTCCACGCTGCTTGGCACAGGTCTTGCAGCAGTCGCAGCCGTCTGTGACCAGGCTGATGCCTAAAGAGCACCGAGGTGGGGACTTCGGGCACTCGCATGGCCATTTGCAGTACTGAGTCCGTGTGTAGGCCTCTGTCGTGGCAGGGACAGCAGGGGTCATGGTGGTGGAGGTCTGGGCAATGGCCTACAAACAAAGAAACACAGCTTGGAGAGCGTTCCAGAGAAAAGGAGTCTGTGAACCCTGTAGTGAATAATCCTCAATAAAAATCCCCTCAGGTCTCAAGAGGCTGCAAGGAAACCAAAGACTAAATGTCACAGAGCCATGGAGAGGGAATGGTCACTGCTCTCTTGTAAACCCTTCCAGATACCAGTCAAGGGCAAATGGTCTGCAGCTTGGACTAGCGCTCAAGCCACCTTGCCTCAGCCTGCTGGTACTCAGCCTTTTCCAGATCTCACCTCTCTAAACAGTGATCTCTTCCCATGGTAGGAATGCAAGCACACATGTCAAGATCTCTCTGATATGTGAAAAGAAGTTGTTACATGTCTCCAGTCTGTGTCACCCTGTGGTGCTTGGCTCTGGAAGGGGACTGTGCCACCTCGTAGCTGTTGTTCCTGTTCATTGAGATGTAGCTGTAGGACCTCTTGGCTACTAAAAGGCTTCCTCAGGCAGCAGCAGCTGCCCTTCATGTCACCAAGCAAGAAAAAGGTCATCACATTGCAGTCTGAAAACAGTTGACATGTGTCACTGATTGGCCTTTTCTACTTCAGGTTTATCCATATTTATGAAGGTCCTGCAACTAAACCATGAAGGAACCACAAAGGGACCAGGAGCAGGTCTGTGAGCCTACCACCTCACAGACATTCAGTCATGAACCTCTGTGTTGTGAGGATGATCCCTCCTTTACAGTGTCCAGAGTACCACAGTCAGCAGAAATGTTCTTTGTGATTCCTAAAGTAGTCACAAGGCACTTAGGTCTGTCTGTGATGAACTCTTCCAGCTCTTACACTGTAATTCCCATGATATTGCCTGGCCTACACAGTCAGACAATTGGGATATTTCTGCAGTGATTTTCCACCTATGCCTTTTGGCACATACTTTTGTCCTACTTGGAGTCACTGTAAGTCAGATGAGCATAAATGAAGCTTCATAATGTTAGTGTTTCTCACAACAGCCATGCACTGGCATTTATTTGCCAGCATAGTAAGCAAGGAAGGAAAACTTTTATATGGAGGATACTGGCAAATTTCCATCCTCTGATCTCCATTTCCTTGGCAAATAAGAAAAAACATAACTGCAAATTTATTAAAAATCTGATAATCAGATAAAAATGTCTGATGAAGGTAAATCAAGGTAGAAAAGGGATCTCGTGTAACACAGTGATGCTAGTCCAGTAGACACATTCAGGTCACTATTACTGAGATAATGGAGTGCTGGGGTACCTTAGCTCATAGAAAAGCCCACAGAGAGCAGAGGTTCACTGTCTTCTGTACTCTCCAGTCCCTGCAAAGCAAACTCTGGATGACATTAACAGCACCAGCTATGCTTGTGGAGCAGGAAGGGTGCAAACTGGCCAGTGACAAAGCAAAGATGTAGCTTTTCTACCAGGATTATGGCACAGAAAACCTGAGCTGCACGTGGGGGTCAAGTAGGGCACATACAGTAGCTCGGGCACAGAAACAAATGAGGTTATTTACAGGCTATCAACAGCAGCCAGAACATGACCCTGCTTGAGGAGATGTGGTCCAGAAGCCCTTTCTGGTGACAAGATATGAAGGCTTTAAAGAATAAGTGTGTAACCCTACAAAGTTCAGACAAGGAAAGTCAAGGTCTAGAAATTACTAAGGCAACCCTGTACTATATATTCCCCAATGTCTGTCCTCTTTACAGTTTCAAATGTCTCAAACAAAATGCTTTCCACCACCTCTCCATGGAGAAAATGCCCCAACCCAAGGCTTTGTGGGAAAAAGTGTCCCCAGGAATTGCAAACTCTCAGCTGATGAGCTGGGTACCTCTGCAAAGCTCTTTTACTGTCTTCTACCACTCCCTTGCTAGCAGATTCAAATGTTATTAAAGTACATTTCTACTGTTGTATCTGAAGGTGTATTCAAGTATCTTAGTAATTAGTTACCCTGTATTTAGAACACTCAATTGTTAACACATTGCTAATCACTGCCAAATAGGCAATGTGTTTACTCTGGGCATAATTCCCAATTCCTTTAAGGCCCCCTTTACAAACAGTTGGCCTGAAAGTTGGCTTAAAATCACATTTAAACTCATGTTTAAACTAAAACATACCAATATAATTTACTCCCACTTTAAGGCTCCTTGATGCTGCCAAAGTTGTTAAAAGAGGAACATTCAAATCAATTAAAAGCCATGGCCTTTCAATAGTAGCATTTTTCATTCCACTCACAATAATTTGAGTAGGTGCAATAATCTGTCAGTCAAGAAGAGAGGCCTCTTCAAGTGCAATACATCTATTTATTTTTTTGCCAATCATTTAAAAAGTGCTTGATAATCAAATCCAGATACACATAGGACAGTCACACAGCTATTTACAGAGCCCATTGCCATGGCCCAGCCCTGTAACTAAATCCCTCCACAGCCCCTTGTTTCTATTGTCAACATGAGCAGGCAAACAGCTTCTACTCTGTGTAGGTATGAAAGCGTCCGTGAATCAACACACGAAGCAAAGAGGAACCCATAAGCCCTGCTAGTCTTATGGTTTTAGTAATATATGAAGGACTGAGGCTGAATTCTTGTAAAAACCTGGGTAGCTGGGAGTCATTCGGTGGCTTGTGATAGACAGGAATTTAGAGTAAATTATTTAACAGCCCTTGCTCTAGGTCTAAAGGCTGAGCTGGCCAAGGAAACTTTTCAAGCATCTTTATAGAGAGTAGCTGTTGTAGTTCTTGGATGTGCTGGCTCAAATGTCTAGTGGTATGGCTAAGTAAAGGAGACTTAATGTAAGCTGCAGAAGCATCTTCAAATAATCAGTGTGGACAGGCATCAAAACACTATCACTTCCATATTTTAGAAATATGGTAGGCATGGAAAGGTGGAAGTGGCATCATATCCTAGCCTCCACCACCACCCAACCAAAATTCAACATTTGGAAACTGTTGTCCACTGGGCACTAGAAAAGTGCATAACCTGTACAGTTTCCAGGCCCTTCTCAAGTCCCTCAGAGCTTTGCTATGGGGAAGCCAATTCTGTGCATTTATATAATTATTGGCTTTACCTTTTCCTTGGTCAGCTGCCATCACTGGTACATCTAATTCCCTATGGAAAAGGCATTCAGCCCTACTACTCCAGTGTCCCAGAACATTTTGGGACATAAACACTTTCTTATTAGTAGGTATAATGGTTATGACATCAAGAGTAATAACGCTTTATAAATACCAAATTAAAAACAATTCTTTCCACAGGTGCTATCTGTAATGGCCTTCACCAATGGCCATCCTTAACCACAAACAAACAAACAAAAACCTCCTCATGTAAGTTAAAGTTTCAGGAATCATGTCTTTAGGGTTAATATAATACATAGGACAACAATGGTTCTGTAAGAAATTCAAAATGAGAGTGAAGAGAAACCTAACACCAAAAAGCACAGTGCTGGAGATTTAACATGTTTATTTCAAAATGTCAGAAAGATAAAAGAATGTGTCTGCTAGGAAATTAGTTTTTCCAGATACTTGTAATTAACTTGTATTGTATAATTACTCTTCAAACCTGGGGTCTGTAGATTTGTTATCTTGGATGCTGAGGAGAATATATTCTACCACAAGCTATTAATGAGCTCTAATTTTGCTGCTTTTGGAGGTACGAGCATATTCTCATTAAATCAAGATGAAGCCTTTCTCACTTTGCCACGGCTGATAACTCTCTATTAAATTTGCTCCAGATTTATGCTTTGTAGGCTCCAAAATTGCTTTCTTTTTGCATCTGCAAAGAATAATATTTCACTACCAACAAATTCCAGCTAATATCTGTGTTCACATTCAAGAGGAGAGAAGGAAAAAGTAAAAAATTACTCACTGTCTGACATGGCCACAAACTCAATATTTTTAATAGCCGTGAGTTTTACTATCCAAGTCTCAAAGATTAAATGGATAGCAGCATTTTAACAGTGTGTTCTATCTGCTAGCAAAGTTTATATTCAAGTTGTTGGAAAATACTGTAATTGTAACTTTGTTTTAGTTTTGAAAACTGGAAAGACCAAGCTACAGTATTGAAATTAGTGTATATGGTCCAAATTGCAAGCCCATCAGATATGTAGCAGCACTTTCACATAATGCGTGAGGAGAACTCTAGCTTAGCTTTTAAGCAGCAAAGCCCTAGATGTATTGTAACATATTTCTATGCTTCCAGTTTTTACAGGTGTTTAAAAATATATTAATGTGTATTTATTTCACTGTTTCGGTGCTGCTTCGGTTGTTGTTTCGATCTTATTCTTAAAGCATTTTCTTTCAAGTATTTTTCTCTTCACAATGAGCTGGGTGAAGTTAGGAGGAAGCTATCTATATTCTTCCCCTCCATCTTATTGATGGGAAAAAGTCCAAATAACTTCTAAATTCAGTTCCTCTGGGTATTGCCAGAGCTGAGGAACTATTTAGGAGAAGTTGGTAGATAGAGATCTGCTCAAACCATAGCACCTTATCACCTCCTGCTGTTTTCGTCTTGGTGGTAATTTGCTGTAAAAGGAGGACTTCTGAGCTCACTCTTATCTGCACAAGCTGTGTTTTTCAGGGCACATGCCTTTGAGTGGACTTCTTTTAATTTCCCACAGTAGAGCGCATTAAAGGAATGTTTTTAACCTACATTTCTGATACTGCTTTTCTGAGCAAATGCCAGCTGTCATTGATGGAGGGATACAACGTGATCTGGATTATCCCATCCTCCATCTCTGACACATTCATAGAGAAAAGGGTCAGTGAGGAAAGCTTTATTAAAATGTCCTCCTTACTACTGTGTAACCAAATCAGCTGATCTGCAGTCTGGCCCAAACATCCTTACTGGTGGGAGTTCATGCACCAAGGCCTGACTGCATCAGCCCATCACTGTTTAAAGTATCACAGAATCACAGAATCACAG